CTCAAAAAAAAAAAAAAAACACAGCAGGCCAAATACAAGAACAGCAGATGAAACTAGGAGGGGTCTGCCCGATCCAACAGCCGTAGAAGGGAGCAGAGCAGTCTCACCCCTAAGAACTCTCTAAGCTGACCAGCCAGGAAACTTTCCAATGCAGGGGCCTGTGCAGAGGAAGATTTGGGGGTAATAGAATCAAAACTGAGCCAGGCAGGGACAAGGGGATAATGAAAAGAAGTTCCAAGTGAAGGATGGAAAGAGGACCTGGAACTCCCAAAGCACAAGCTGTTTTATTTTTTAGCACTACGCAGAAACAGCAGAAGAGGAGGCTCTGTGAAGTCAAAAGTAACTATCCTGAAATATGGCCCCTAAAATTCAAGAATATTTATTTCATATAAAAAGAGCAACAAAAAAGGACTGAAATTAAAGATTATATAAAGTTAGTGTAAGTAAAAGAGAATATGAAACAGAACAAAATCCTTACAGACAATGAAAGCATGCCGGAAAAATCATGCTACCAAAAAGATTAAACTATAACATTTCAAAACAAGCTAAAAGTCATTAAGAAGGGGATAGAAGATATGACATAACAACATGAGTAAGAATTAGAAAATCTCAATAAAAACAATATGCTGCCATAATGATATGATGTAATAAATATTGCTTCAATTGCAATCATGCTGTAATATACAAATGTATCAAAGCCACACACTGTATGCCTTAAATATGCAAAATGTAACATGTCAAATTTATCAAATAAAAAAAGTAATTTTTTAAAAGAAAGAGAAAATTTCAGAAATACTGGTAGTTCACAGGGCAATAATTAGAAATAAAAGAAACCAATTTCAGAAGCACAGACTAGAAGGGACAGAAGAACAAATAAGCACAATGAAGAAGGCCTCAGCAGAAAGAGAAGGAGAGAAGAACCATTTTCTAATGAAAAATAAATGAGAGGAAAAGACAATTCAAGAGAAAATGAGAAATATTGAAGATATGCAATAAACTCCAACATGTAAAGGATCAGAGTCCCTAGAAAAGGAGAACCAAAGGAAACACTAAAATATATAACTCAATAAAACATTCCCTGAAATTAAAAAAGACTTGGACAACAAATTGAAAGAGAACATAGTTTATTTGAGAAACTCAACCCGCAGAACTAACACCAAGATATATCCCAGTAAAATGTGTCCTGAGGCCCATGGAGGCTTCTGCGGTGGCTGGCAGAGCTCTGGTTCTTGAGCCGAGTGGTGATTACAAAGGGTTTGCCTTAAATAATTCATTAAATTAAACATTTTTTGTGGTTATTTGTATCCCCATTTTATCTTACAGTAAAAAAGGTTCTAAAAAACAGTGAAAAGAAAACAGTGACCCTCTGAGCATTTGTCTTCTGAAGACGGTGGAGATTGCAGTTGGTCAAGAGAAAGACACGTGGATAATGGTTTACAGGTTGGGGCTGGACCATAGAAAGTACACCGCTTGGGACAGGAAGGAGTTCTGGCTTAGGGGAATTTCTGCACAATGTCCTTGGATGTGGGGACTATGACCTATATGAGTAGGAAGAAGGAGGGTGGAAGGGTGAGCAATGCATGATCGCAGGACACAAAACTCTAGGAAACTCAGAACTCCTCCAAGGCCTCATGGCAAAGTCACTCTGGAACTGACCTCAGAATGTCCTTTACCTAGCCTAGGACCCAGGTGGTAATTCAAGTTCCAGGAGAAGAAGCTTCAGTTAGGACCTTAGCATGGCAGCAGTGGGGGACCTGCTCTCATAACCTGCTGGACAGTGGTCAAAGTCTTGGGAGGGACCCTCAGGCAGCAGGCAGTGACACCCAGCCAGTCACCCCCAAGACGTCTTCCTCTGTCTGAAGGACTGGGAGAATGGTCTGCCCCTCAAAGACAAGGAAGAAGACATTACCTTGTCCCTAGACAACTGAGTCTCCACATATCCTGGAATGAAAGAGAGGCAAGAAGTAGAATGCCCCAGTTGGGACCAAATGTTGTGAGTATCCTGAGGGGTGGGAGATGACCTGCATGATCGGAGCTCCATCTCCTCTGACCCCCGGAATGTTTCTAGCTTCAGAAAAACTATTTCAGTGATCCCTGAGAAGTACAGTGAACCTTCCGCCTCACGTCTTTGACATTAGGAAAAGTGGAAAGTGGGGGAAGCCATGGACAGGCGGCAGTGTGCTCCTGAGAGGCTCGTTACCTGTCTGAGCCCTGGCACAGAGGACGAGTCCCACCCGAAGGAAGATCAGCCCAAGCAGGAAGGCTGCAGCTCCACTTAGCATCTTTTCCCAAGAACGTTCAGACTGAGCTCCTATGGGAAACAGGTCTTAAAGTTAGTAAGAAAGTTCTCAATATTTGCTGTACTTTCTTGAAATCCCAGAGTCTGTACTGGAACCCAAATCCAATGCTAGAGAAGGAATAAATTAAGAAATGGTTCTTTGAAGCCAAGGTTTACACCCATGGAGTTTCTGTTAGTGATTCTTACAGCCCATAAGAATGACCCTAAATACTGAGACTAAAGTATTGGAGGACACTAGTTCCCAAAGTCGAAAGTGACAAAGAGATTAGACCTCCTTATTTCTTAGAAGATACAAGAATAGATGCCTGCCATATTTTCTCCCCCCATAACCCAAGGACTCCAATTTCTCTGACTTCCTCAGCACAGCAGGAAAAGAGGATTAATGCTGTGAAAAGACGAATGCAGAGGGAACCCAGGTCCCATATTGAGTCAGTATGACCCTGACTCAGGCCCAGACACTACAAGAAGCTGGTTCTCACTCCACTCCACAGAAATAGGGCTCAGCAGGCTGGGATGGTCAACAACACAGGTGTAGACATCTCGGAGTTCAAGCGTCATTTCCAGCATCACCACTGTCTGAAAGGTCCAGTCTCCATTCCTGACAAGGCCAGGGGACATGACTCCAGGGCTCTCCTCCTGCCCATTCCGGAGCCACCTGATGGTGACGTCTCCTGGATAGAAACCCATTGCAGAGCAGAGCAGCAGCTTGCGGTGCTGCAGGGATGGGGTCGTCTTGGGATACACAGTCACCTCTGGTTGTACTGGGAAGGGAGAGGAAAATGAGGCATCGTGAAAGAAAACCACTAAGGCAGGACTAGGGTTTCTTTAGGGACTACCTCTGCCCCTAATCTCTTTCCCAGGTCACCCATGAGGAACTGGAAATATGGGGAACTCTCAGACCCCAAGACTCAGTAACTGGGTATGTCGATGACCCTAAGGAGGACTAAGACCTTATCAGACTCTCCTACAATTAGCCTTCTACTTGAGAGCCTCTGAGAACCTTGAGGGTCTGGAACCAAGGCCACAGTGACCTGACCTGCAAGGAGCATGAGTCACAATTGGGGCAAGAACATATATACAGACTCCCAGCTCATAACCCATTTTTCCTGCTTCCTGAAGCAGAAAATTGCCTAAGTAAGGAAGAGCCCTGGCCCACATGTGGAAGATTCCTGAACCTCACCAGGCCTCCCAGTCCACCTCACCTTTTCTCCCCACAGTGAAGGGGGCACCCAGCTGGTAGTTATGCCTGCAGAGGGCATCCACAGAAGCTCTGCTCCTCTCCAATATATCTGACTGGTTGTTCCACAACTCGGCATCAGGCTTCCCCAGCTCCGTCAATGCCACAAACATTCCCACACTGCTGTCAAAACGTGCATACTCCTCCAAGTTAAAAATGAATTGCACCACAAACTGCACCTTGTTCAGTCCCATTGGTGAAGTAACAGTCAGCCTTTGCCTGAATCACAAAATCTTCTGGAAAAAATAAATAAGACTGTGAGCCAGTCCCAACCTTTGGGAAACCCATGCCTTCCTTGTAAATTAAGCCAGACCACATGGATTTGAGAGGAGGCTTTCTGACCTCAATAAATAGGTCAAAGTAGCCTCTTCTCCCTGGGGCCCCACTCTGGTTCCTCTTAGCAGTAGAAAGAAGCTTGAGGTCATCCTGCCAGGCCAGCCAAACAAGAGACATGTGACCCAAAGAAGCAGGCCAGAGTCTCAAAGTCATAGACATTCATTCAACAAATAGTTACAGACTGTTTGAGTTCTGCCAGATACTGAGCTAGATTTCTCCAAGCTAAGATTTCAGAAGCCCAAGGTGTTAACTTCCTGTATGATCAAATCAAAAGGATCCATCCCCGTATGGAATAATTCTGTAGCATTATTGCCCAAACCAGATTCATTCCATACATTCCTTCTGGAGCAAAGCAAAGGAGTGATGGAGGAGAGGCAAAGAAATGCAGAGTAGGTACACATTAGGAGTGACATTAATTCCCCTTCTGCCTTCCACTCACTGTGTTTGCCCCAAGAATTTCCTTCTGGACCTTTTCCTTTGCACTCTTACTCAGAGACCTCATCCCCTCTGTTGGCTCTGATGAGGTAACGACCTCAATGCCTTTCTTGGAGTTGGGCAAAATAAAATTGGTCTGTGGCTTGAAGGTTATCATCATCAACATCATTGGCACTATGCCTACAACTCTAGTAGCTGCAACAACATGGTGATAGGAAGTAATAAGATTAGTTTAAACCTTCTTTGGTGGCTTTTATATTAAACATTGCCACCGAAGGTGGAATCAAAGGAAACCACTTCCATTGTTTGCTACAATTTTCTACTTTCAAAGTACCTTACTAATTTTACTAGCAATTAGTTTGAGCTATATATTTTCATACAATGTTCTTCATTAATCCACTCATGTTCTCCAAAGTAATTTAATATTCCAGTTACTTAATCAGTCCTCATAAATAAGAAAAAGTATGATTCTCATTTGTAGAGCACACAGTGCTATGGTCTGATGTTTGTGCTCCCAGTTCATATGCTGAAATTCTAACCGCTAACGGTAATCCTATTAGTAAGAGGTGCTTTGGGGAGGTGCTTAGGTCTTGATAATGGAGCCCTCATGAGTGGGATTAATGCTCATATAATAGAGGCTCCAGAGAAGTCCCCAGCCCTTCTACCATTGGGGACACAGGGAGAAAGTGCCAGCTGAGAATCAGGAGAGAGCCTTCACAAGAACACCACCACGCTGACACCCTGATCTTGGACTTCCCAGACTCTAGGACTGGGAGAAATACATTTCTGTGGTTTATAAGCCACCCATCTGTGTTGGTTATAGAAGCCTGAATGGACTAAGACACAATGAAATCTGTCTTAGATTTAAAGATCTGGAAAATTTTAAGAGACAAATTGGTAAATGGCCCTGGGTTATGTCTCAGTTGATTCGAGTTCCAGTTCTGTATCCAGTAGTTTTATGTAGAAACACTTACCCTCCCTGACCTGCTTTCCACTGGTGAAGACACTGAGGTAGAGCTCAAAAGCACAGTGTTACGTAAGAAAAGAAACAGAATGTGATTCAATGCATAATGACATTTATTAAAATTTTTAAATACACACAGAAAAACAATGCCACATATTAAAGGCCACTATCATACTTGCAGACATACCGGATGCATTAGAATGGAAATCTACGGCAAGGAGGGAGAGAGAATGGAGACAAGGGAAGGGAAGAGAGAGTCCTACTGACAAATGACTACAATGTGCTGTGAACTCACTGGATAAGATTAACTCACGTCTGTGCACTTGAGAACAATAATAAAAGGAAATTCAGATGGGTTATAATTGGGTTGGTCAGAAAAGACTTCCCTGAAAAAATAGCATTTAAGCTGAGACTTGAAGGATAGTTGTTACTGATCTTAAATTTGCTTTCATTTCTAAGCTCAGAGGCCTCCCCCAGGAGCCACTGAGCTGAGCATAAGGATGGCAGTGTTCTTCCTGAGTCATGTCATCCCTACTCAGCTGTCACTCAGTAGCTAGTTTCCAAAGAGGCTCTAACCTCCCATTTGCTATTCCTTCTTACAGTCTAAGTCAGGAAAAAAGTATGATAGTCAGATCTATGTCAATTTAAGATCCGGGCTCACTGCTTTTCTATTTAGGGTGTTTAATGGACATTATAAGCTCAGAGAGGTTTCTATTCTCTAAGAGCAATGATCTTCCCCCACCCACCCTCCCCACGGGTTTGTTCCTCTTTTGTATTAAGGGGACTTTGACATTCAAACAGGCTCTGTTTCTAGCACGTTATATCCTGTTTTCTGTAGATAGATATGCTTGCATGGTGTAAAACTGCTTCACATCTACATAGACTATCTTCCCAGCTAGAAAAATAGCAGCAGTAAATACACGTACCCAGTAACCCGAGGACAGGGATAAATCATTCAACTTCTGTTATGTCTCAAAACTGGGGCCTAATAATGCCAAAAGAAGCAACCTTTGTTTCCAATTCCTTTTGTCCACATGTAGCCCAATTGGATAAATACAGAAACAGTCACAACCATCAGAGTGAAGTTCTGACTGACAAATGACAGCTATTTTCAGGCCGCATCCATTTTCTGCAGTTTTTGATGGTGATATTGATACAAGAAGAACGCTAAACAAGACAAAATGTTTCCCCCTCTTTGCCTCCCTACTTCTTGAATCTGTGGCTCTGGTACAGGAAGTCCTTTTTCCCAGCAGTCCACTGTGTGTAGTAAAGAGGGAAGGAACACTTTTCAATGCTTTCCGTCTTCAAAAGGAAGAACACTCCCTTTGAAGCCAAAAGCCAGTTCCAGTCTGGTCTGCAAACCGGACCTAGGGGGAAAGCCCTTCCTCCCCGTGCCAGTGCTGGCATACACCCCTGAGAAAAACCATGCTGTTCTTACCTGGAGAGACTCTGCCTCGGCCCATGGAGGAACCCAGCCTGATTAGATCCACTAACAGAATCAACACCCAAGGAGCCCACCCGGAACCCATTCTGGAAGGAAAAAAAAAATGAGACAGTGAAATGGTTAGCTTCTTCAGAATGGGGCTTGTTAACTCAGTCAAAAATATTCATTAAGAGTATAAATACCTTTCTATCCTCCCCAGGACTGGAAAGACCTCACAAAGATAACCAGTCAAGATAAAAGACTTTTGTATCATTAGTTGCTGGGTAGAATACGTTCACAGAGTTGTGTTAAGCCACTCAAGAACTGTCTACCTGGAGAATCACTGACAGTAGTTTAGCTATGTGGGAAATGAGCTGAGAGAAAAAGAAGAATAGAAAACCTCTCCATAGTGTGCGGTCCTAGAAGAACTAGACAGATTGTTTATTCTTTATTCGGCTATCTATCCTCATCTAGCAATGTCCCTGGCCTGTTCTAACCAATAGTTCTCCCTTCCTATGGGGGTGCTGACATTGCCAACAGAGAATGTGTGAAAAAGAAGAAAGTAGATAGCACTCTAATCATACACCTCAAAAGGAGTTAGTGAAGGGACCATCAGAGAAGAAACAGAAGAGACTGAAAATAACCTGGAGAGTATGATTTCCTGTCAACTGAGAGAAAGCCACCAAAAAACATGGAGAGAGGATTCTTAAAATAATAAAGTGCTGCAAAAACATTCAAGAGGATGAAATATAAGAAAGTTTTACTGTGTTTTAAAATTAGTGGGCACCAATAACCTTCAATGGGACCTAGAACATTAAAGGTAGAAGCTATATTTCAAAAGAGTAAAGTGAATTAGAAATGAAGGCAGCAGATGTAAACAGTCCATCAAGAATTTTGGAAATGAAAACAAGGGACTCTCATTTGAGAGAAAAGCACCACTATGGGAAAGTCACTTTAAGATATGAAAGACCTTAACAAGTTTCTGAGTCAAGCAGAAGACATATGTAGATAGAAGAAATTAAAGATAAAAAAGAAGAAAAGATAAATTACACACAAAACACTTACTGGAATCCAAAGAATGAGAGAGATTGTCAGACTCAGCAATAAAAAGAAACTTCTTCAGATGCAAGAATGAGAACAGGGAGATTTGGAGAAAGGGGGATGAGGACGTTCCAGTTGTATGGCTTCAGTGGACTCACTTTTTGGACAAGGCAAGATCTTCAGCTAAAAAGGAGCTGGAAGAAAATGTATTTGACAACTATGGAGAGAAGTTTCCTTTTTCACCAAAGTGATAAATGCATCATTTATTTAGCATAGAGCCATCCACACCCAATATTATGGGCATGCAATCATGAGACTAACATGTTCCTTGTCCTCAAGAAACGTATAACCTACATGGAGTGACAGGGAAACCATGCACTGTAAAGTCAGGACAAAGGAAATTAATGTTTGGGCACACAAGATAAGCCAATCGAGAAAGAGTTTGTGATAAAGTGGATGTTTTACATAAGTGAACTAACAAGCAGAGAATTTTAGAAATAGAAATACTGAGTACAAGTGGACAAAAGAAAGGAGATAAACAGTAAAACAAAAGTTTACCTGAATCCCTTAAAAATTTCAGATTATCCACAGTAAGTAAATATTTGCACTCTACTCCATTGAATAAAGAAGTAAATAGAATTTTTTTTAATCCTTCACTTGCCTAAGAGAAAACATACTTTGATTGATATGTCTTACCAATATGCTGAGAGGCACTTGGTAAAGCTCTACCCATAAGTAGTAATATCAGATTGTAAATCAAAGGCTTACTCTATGAATAGATGGTCAACTCCCTAATAGCCCAATAGAGGGTTTTATGGCAAGCCTCTCTGAAGCATGAGACCCTCAAGCAAGATTTCATATTCCTTCCTAACTCCCACTTGTACCACTAGCCAACTGCAACCGGGAAGGATTAAGAACTCCCAAGCATATGAGTAATAATGCAGGAAGAAGAAAGATGATTGGATCAAAATGGCAAAATAGGATTCAGAAAAGAAAGGTGAAATGCAACCTTTTAATGAACTGTAACCCCCATTCTTAGCAAACAAGCCCTGCACTGGAATTTGGCCCAATCAGAATAATTTATTCTCCTAGGAAATCATGACAGAGTAAAAAAAGTCAATCCTGATGGTTTTGTCTATTGTCTAATTCTGGAATGTTGGTGATCTTTTGTTCTGCTAATTTGTTAATGTGAACTCATTATTCCTAAGAAATACCCACTGAAATTATAATTATGAACCTCAAAAAGGTTTTCTAGAACAAACTCGACTTGATTCTGATTGGGGTTTTTTTGATCTGTGCTAGTTTCTTTTTGCAATATTTTTGTAAAATTTTTGCATCAATAATAATAAGTAAATTTACCCATAGTTTTTATTTTTTGTTCATTGTCATAGTTTAACATCAGTATTACACTTACTTCATTAAAGGAATGCATTTGATGCTATTGAGCCATTTAATTAGGATTGGAATTATCTTTCTTTTTCTTTATTACATGGCCCTAAATATCTGGACCTGGAGTTTAAAATTTTCTCTATTTCATTTATGGAGATTATTCTATATAGATATTCTACTGCACAAAGAATTATTCATTTAATCTAAGTTATCAAGCTTATTTCCATAAAATTGAACAAAGTACTTTATTTTTCCTCTGTTCCTGAATTAATTTTGTCATCATTTACTTTCTTTACTTGCAACTTCTCTACTTTTCTTCTTGATTAGTTTTCTCAGTTATTTATTTTATTGAAGAATTGTAAAGCTTTTGAATTAATGCACTGTTTTTCCATTTTCTTACTAATTTCTGCTCTTTTACTTAGCTGTTCCTGCTTTCATTTTATTGATTTTGATGTTCTTTTCACCTAATTCACTTAGCTGCATTCTTTCCTTTCACTGATAAAAGTAATCAAGACCATGAATCCTCCTCTGAGCTTTAGCTATATCTCACAAGTTTTGATATGTGATTTTTAATGATTATTTTTCTAGAAATTTTTCAGTAACCTTTTTTCCTCTGGACAAGAAAGAGACAGTATTTTTAAGTTTCCATGTGGAGGAGCATTTATCTTTTTTGATTTTCTTATTATATGGTTTGTTCCATTACGGTCAGAGAATAGTATCTATATTGTTCCTACTTTTGGGAACTTGGCATGTGCCATAATATGTGGTGCATTTTCATCAAAGTTTTCTTGGCATTTGAAAAGATGTGCTCTCTATTTTCAATGAAGAAAGTTTAATACAGGTCCATAATATCTAATTTTTTATAATACTATATCTTTTGTATTGATACTTAATTTTTGCCCACTTGATCTGTCTAATCCTGAGAAGCAAGTTAAAATCACCAACTACTAATATACTTTCTCTGCATCTCCCTTAATTTCTACTTCATGAGAGTTGTTTATATGCTATTTATAATTTAAATGAAGTTCTCATGTGTCCGTTATGAATTTTACACTTTACATTATAAAGTGCCCTCTTGTCTCATTCAATTTTTTGGCCTGAATTGCATCTGCTTAAATAATAAGATTGTGACCCCTACTTCCTTTCTGTTTGCATTGTCTTGTTATGCCTTTGCCCATTATTTTATTTGTTGAATAAATGAAAGAAGCTTTCTGAGTCATTTTATTTTAGGCATGTCTTTGTATATTGCCAAGAGTTTCTCTTTTACCTAACCTAAAAATATTTTTATAAGCGCTAAGCCCATTTACAGTTAATTTGGCAAACAGATTCAGTGGTAATGTTTAATTTATAAATAATATTACTGTTTTATGTTAAATATGCTGTTTATATGAGTATTTCTTTTTTAAAATCTTGGACTGTGTCTTTTGGTGGGTTTTTTTAATTGTACTTTTTCAGATGCTTAGGAAGGTGTATGTTTCAGGATTGTCTTGATAATTTTATTTTTATATAATACAATTAATTCTCTTTAGATACTTCCTATTAGTTTTCTGCTTGCACATCATAAAACTAGCTTATACCTTCTCCCTTTTCCCATTCTCTTTGTGTTTACCTTTGTACTCTTACATAAATTCTAAATACAACTATTTGATGTATCTACTTTAAGAGATATCTTTAGACTCCCAGATACTACAGAAAAGGCCATCAGCAAGCTTATTCTATATCCTTACACATTTCTCTACTTAATCTGCAATTACTGAGAAATGTTTCTATTTATCAATTTCTTCTTGTAACTCTGTCTATATTCTCTTACATATTTTGTGGCTTTGTTGCTAGGTACAGACTGGTTTAGCATTATTATAATGCTCATGGTGACTTCTTGTTATTATGCAATGATCATCTTTGTCTCTATTAATGCCTCTGATCTTAGGCTTTATTTTTAGGTATAAATATAACTGCACAAGCTGTCTTTTGTTGGTGTTAGTTTTGAGTACCTTATTGAATGCTTTGGTTTTAACCTTTTCATACCTGTAGGTTTTCTTCATAACTCATGTGATGGGCATATGACTAGCTTTTGTGATGCAGTAGCTCCTCCCTTATCTATAGTTTTGCTTCCCACGGTATCAGATACTCATGGTCAACCACAGTCCAGAATCAGATGATCCTCCTTCTGATGTATCATCAGAAGGTCAGTAGTAACCTAACACTGTGTCATTCACCTCATTACATCTCATCATATAGGTATTTCATCATCTCACATTGTCACAAGAAGGATGAGTACAGTACAATAAGGTATTTTGAGAGGGAGAAAGACCACATTCACATAACTTTTATTGCAGTATATTGTTATAATTGTTCCATTTTATTATTATTTATAGTTTTAATCTCTTATTATCTCTAATTTATAAATTAAGCTTTATCATAGGTATGTATGTATAGGAAAACAAACAGTATATATAGGGTTCATTACTACCTGTGGTTTCAGGCATCCACTGGGGGTCTTGGAACATATCCCCTGTGGACAATGGGGACTACTAAATTATTAACCCAATCTGAAAACCTTTTTCTTAACTCCAAATTTAAGCTATTTACATTTATTGTGATTACTAAGTTATCTGGATTTATTTCTATTACAATATATTGTATTTTCTATGTATTTTTCTTTTGTTTTTTTTTTTCTTTTACTCATTTAAACTTAATAAACTTTAAAGTATTCTTTAATTTCCCCCTACTGGTTTAGGAGGTTTCAAATTCTACTGATGTTAGTTAGAGTTACCCCTACATTTTTACTATGACTACTGAACTTGGAAACATTCTAAATTAATCAGTATCTCTACCCTCCCTCCAAACAAAATTTTAGAATACTTTAACTGCCTCATTCTCATTTTATTTGTGATTGTTCCATCATATTCTTAATTTTAATAATAATAACTTAGTGATTTTCATAGTCATTTTTAATTCCTCTTACTGATTTATCAGTATTTTGGACAGATTTGTGTTGTTGGTGTGTGTGTGTTTCTTGTCTTTGCTTCTTGTATCCCAATTTGTCTTTCTGGGTTCTGTATCTTTCTTACTTAAGTGTAAAAAAACAAAAAGAAAATGACAACTACAATACGATAGCACTTTTTATCTGTAAGATTGGCAAAAATCTAAAAAATTGACAACACTTTGTGTTGGTGAGAATGTAGGGAAAGAGAGAAACTCATCTATTGCTGATGGAACTGTGCATTAATACCACCTGTAAGTAGGCAATTCTGCAATATCTATCAGTATTAATAATGTGTATAGACTTGGGCTCAGCAATGCCCTCTTTAGGATTTTAACTTATTGGTGTTCTTGCACATGTGTATTACAGTGTCTACTAATTGACATTGCCTACTAATAGCCAAAGACTTCCAATAATCTTACTATCCACCAAGAGGAGACATGCTCAATGAAACAGTATGCTATACAAAATAAAATAGTATACTCTATTAGTCATATATTCTTAAAAGTCAAAGTCTTTACATTTTTAAAAAGTAAAGTTCTGAAGAGTGAATTTAGAGAGCTGCTACCTGCAAAAATAGAGAACAGGAATATATACATTTTTTATTAAACATACATTAAATTTTTTGAAAGGATAAACATAAAGCTCAGAGTATGGATTGCCTATGTCAGGGATATTGCCAAACTGTGGGGAAGGATGGGAGTGAGGATTTCTTCTGTATACCTTGTTGTGCCTATTGAACTTGAAGCCACATTAACACATTGTTTATTCAAAAACTGTGTGTTTTAAAAAGAGAATAGTAGGAGGGTAAGTGGAAACAGGGAGTATAAACAACTCTTTGGACGAGTTTTGTTGTAAATCTGGCAGAGTCCACCTTTTCCTACCTGTGTGACCCAGGCAAGTTAGTAAATGTTTTTAAGCTTCCATTTTCTCATTCTTAGAATTAGGGCAGTAGTACCTGCCACATGGGATTGTCTTGAAGATAAAGAAGATATGTCAATATTTAGCACAACAGTTACCACATAGTAAGCACTCAATGAATGATTTTTGTCATTAAAATTATTGTAATTCAAAAACCCTAAAACTCTAGGTTCAAATCCAGTACTTCCAAGGACCACTAGATGGCAATAAGACTCAATCCAACAGCTCCTTCCACCTAGCACCAAAACCAGAGATCTTTGTTTTCCTTATTCCTTAGTCCTTTCCCCCAAATGCTGACAACTCCACTCTTGCAACTCTTGATTCACACTGCCATGTGGACTGCAAGTGGCTACACCCCTTGGATGGGAAATAAAGGACTTGAAATTCAATGTTACTTCCACATTATTTAGGGCAGACGGCATGGAATGCTGTGTGGGGCTTCAAAGAAATTTATGAGAGTTGCCTAAGGTTTCCCTTTCTCCATGCACATCCTCCTTTGGACAGAGTAAAACATGGCTGAGTGGAAAAGATATTGAAGGTGAGTGACAAGAGGAAGGAGAGATTAAAGGGCAGGGATGGTGCAGGGGACAGGAGGGGAGAATGGAAAGAACTAGAACATTGGGACAACCAGAATTACTAATATCTGTGGTTCCCAGACAGAACCCACTTGTAAGGATTTGTCTGTCTAGGTTGAATACTTTGACAGTCAGTGAACATTTTTCTGTCCCTGACATAAGGCTGACCTGGGAACTCCCCTGAGACAACAAATTTTCAGGACATTAAGATCCTAAAGATGCCTCATCTTTCTGTACTTCCCATTGGGATACCTAAGTTTTCTTCCCAGCTCTCGCACTGTGCGATTGATTAGCCATGACATTTCAAGCCAATCTCCCTTTCTGTAGAGAAAAATTTTACTGCTACATGATCTTTAAGATGCCTTCCAGGTTTAAAGTATTATGAGTCTATGGGTATAATGACACTGAGGATATCAAAGAAGTTTAACACATCCTCTTCTTCCATGAGTTTCCATAAGGTTGGGAGCACAGGAATTATTATTCCCATTTTATAAATAGAGAAGGGACATTAGATGGGGAGAGGAAGGAATCAGGCCAGACTTCTCTCCCAACAAATGCATGATTCACCCTCAGTGACAATTAAGACATAAATCGGTGTGGAGCAGCAGGGCGGCAGCAGGGCGGCAGCAGGGTGAGACTCACCTGCCTAAGGAACTCCCTGCTCTCACTCGACCCTGCTCCCAACAGTTGCCAGGCAGAAAAAAATCCAAAACAGAAGCTCTGGCGAGTGCATTGCTATTGCTGGGAAGTACCTGCTGTTACTGGGAATGTGAAAGTTTCTCTTTCCTAGAAGAGGCACCTTCAAAGCTAAGTCCTTCCCCATAACCAGCATACAGCTTTGAATTTTCAGTGGCTGGAGTGTGTAGGGAGGATTGAGGATGAGGAGAGTGGAGGAAGGAGACTTATTCATTTATCCAATAGACATTTACTTATTGTCTCCTATGAATGGAGCCTGTGCCAGGCAGTCAAAACAAAGCTTACTAAAATATGTGGCCCTCTCCGCAGGAGCTCATGGTCTAAGGGAAGGACAAATGTGTTATGGGGTTTAGAGTTTAGTAAGGGCTGTGAAAGAGGTAAGTCCCAGGAGCAATAGGAGAACATAGAAAAGACACTTTCTCCAGTCTGAGACAGGGAAGGCTTCCTGGAAGACCGCCCCTGTGTTAAGTCTTGAAGAACTTGAGGAAAATCGGGGGAGGGTGGTGCAGGGAATGGCAAGAAAACACCCTAGACAAAGATATAAAGGCATTAGAAGGTGGAAAGTTCGTTGTGGCTGAAGTTCAGTGCAACAGAAAAGAGTGAGACTACCTGACTGGAAAACTGTGCTCTGAGGAAGATCTGAGCAGAAAGAGATAGAGGCCCTCCGCAAGGTGGGAGACCCCTTAGAAAAACAGACTGCCCGCGAGGCAGTGGAAACAGTGGATTGGCTATTGTAGATGAGAAGGAATTCAGGTGTCCCCCAACGGACTGAGGTGGTTTTCTCCCCATAGGAGTGGGCCCGTCCCCGAGACTGGGGAGAGGTGGAGGTGATGCCAGAGGCAGAGACAGTGAAGGAATACGAAAGCCGCAGAGGCAGATGTGATTCCAGCACTCGACCTGCCACCGTGAGAGTAAAGCTTGGTATAATCCTTTTACCCCTGATGTCCCGTGGTTATTTGGTCTCACCGAATCCAGAATGAATGTGACCATGCACAATTCCCTTCGGGCAAGACAATTGGCATGTGAAGGATTTTAGAGAAGTAACATCATCCTATGTGCCTTCTAGAAAGAAAAATGATGTTATGAAGAATGGCTAGAATAAACAAACCAACTGTAGGGAGACCTCTTTGGAGATGAGATTATCTAAGTCTATGAATGAACCCTGTAACAAGGCTAGAGGGAAGATAATAGATTCAGGGCTAATCAGAGCCAGAAGGCAAACAGCTTTATTTGATCTGATTATGAATTAGAGGTGATGAACCCAAGATGTAATATAATTTATTGGTTGAGATTGTGGACTCGGGGTCAAGCCTGGATACAATCAATTCCACCACTGGTAACCGTGGGATAGTTATTTAGTCTCCTTTAGATTCAGTTTCCTCATCTATAAAATGGGGATAATAACAAACCTTTACTCTCACGGTGGCAGGTCGAGTGCTGGAATCACATCTACCTCTGTGGCTTTCGTATTCCTTCACTGTCTCTGCCTCTTGCATCACCTCCACCTCTCCCCAGTCCCGGGTGGAGGATAAGGACTAAAACTGATAATACATTTAAAATACTTAACATGGTTCCTACTCATATTGAAACTCTATGAATGGTAGCTATTATCAATGTTTTATTAACACTATTAATTAGGGATCTGTGCTCTGCCCCTCCATACCCTAGCTTCCCCAAAAATATCAGACACTAGTGGGAACGGGGAAGAGTACGGAAAGACCACCTCACGAATATGTATGTCATATAATGTATCTCAAAGAACAGATAAAAGACTGAATGATGACCAGCGAAAGTAATCATGATGACCTCTGGAAATGAAACCGGAGGTTGTTTTTACTTTTCCATGAATGTGTGCTATTTAAATAACAAAGAAAATATTTAAAAATATATTTATTGTGTCGCAATACCGTACTCAGCCCCAGGCAAAGATCTGTTCATCATGGAGAGAAAGTTCTGGAGCTCAGCACCTCCACCTGGTTGCGGGATGAAAGCACACGTGGTCACTCCTTCAGGTCCCCAGCCCCAGAAACAACCACCCAGGGCCACAGCCCCAGGGACCCTGGAAGCAGGAGCTCCCCCGGGCAATGCAGATGGCCGTGGGATGGGCGCAGGTCCCCGGGGCCTCAGTCCTGCAGCTGCTGCACCAGGCGGCAATAGGGGTCCTGCCCCTGCAGGAGCTGGGCGTGCTGCAGCAGCGCCCCCTGCCGGAGCACCAGGATCTGGTCAGCGCTCTGAACGGTTTGCAGCCTGTGAGCGATCACCAGCACTGTGCGGTCCCCGCGGGATTTCCAGTCCTGCAGCTGAAGGGGAAGGACCATAACGCCTCAGAGAGGTTAGAACGCGAGCGACACCACATCCCACTGGGCGCCATCTCGTGGGGTTTAGGGTAAAGGAGGCAGAAACAGGAGGAAGGAGAGAGGAAGACGCCGGTAGCAGCGCCCTCCCGGCTCGGCTGTGTCATTGCGGCTGGAAAGGAGCCGTGGAGGAATCCGGCAGCGCCCACACTGCCGCATTCTCCATTCCACTCCCCACGCCTAAAGAGGCACTCTTCCCACTAGCGGGCCACGTGTCGTCCCACACCCCCACCCCCATCCTGCACAGGCCGATCCTCCCTACGTGACCCCTCCGTCCCGCGGTCCGCTGCCTCCCACCCCAGCGCTCACCGCTTGCTCGCACTGCACGTCCAGGGCGCTGGTGGCTTCATCCAGTATGAGGACGCGCGGGTCCCTCACGAGGGCCCGGGCAATGGCCAGCCGTTGTTTCTGTCCCACAGCCAGCTGGTTCCCTTTCTCCCCTACATCTGAAGAAACCGAGAAACCCCTTTCCTCACACAAGTGACCACACAACATACCAGCCAGGAGCAGGAACAAGCGCACGACTGGGATTCCCAGCAGTAGCGGTTAGGAGGGAAGGTCTGGTGTGCGGAGGCGCGGCCGCAGGGAGGACTGGTGTTGGGGAAGGAGGGAGAGCGGGCCGAGGACCGGGCACAGGAACAGCAGATGGGGAGCCACGGGCCACAACCGTCAACCGCAAGAATAAGCTCGTTTCTCTTTGGTCGGAGCGTACCTGTATCCAGGCCATGCTGCATGTCGTTGATAAACTCCTCAGCGCTGGCAGCCCGGGCGGCAGCCATCACCTTGTCATCACTGCAGTTCTTCAGCCCGTAAGCGATGTTGTCCCTCACAGAACCCGAAAACAGCACAGGCTCCTGCCCGACCAGGGCCACCTGCGCAGAGGAATGCGAGCAGGGGCTGTGGGAGCCCCCAGGGGTTCCCCTTCCTCCTCATTTTCCTCCCCCAGAATGGACTCCTGTGTTGTCCCCACCACCGCCGGCGCTCCCTCCGTACTCGGTTCTTCGCCCCCATCTCCTGCCCCTCTTCCTCCCCGCCCACCTGTCGGTGCAGGTAGTGGTGTTCGTACTGGGCGATGGGCTCCCCGTCGAGCAACAGCTGCCCCCCGGTGGGCTGGTACAGATTCTGCAGCAGGGCAGCCACTGTGCTCTTCCCAGACCCATTGGGTCCCACCAGTGCAGTCACCTGACCCGGACACAGGGTGAACGACAGCCCCTGAAAAAGCCAGGGAAGAGCTAGGGGCTGCCTCTTCTCCCTCAGGAGCCCTCCGCTTCTCTTCCTATCGGAGTAAGACCAGCTCCTCAGAGGCCACGACATGGTCACACACAAGCCGCAGGGGGCGAGGGGGCCACTTTCCTCCGGTGGCCTCTTTCAGGCACCTTGAGCACAGGCTGGTCAGGACGACTGGGATATGCAAAGGAGACATCCTGGAACTCCACAAGCCCCTGCAGGGCGGGAGGGGCCCGGGTTCCGGGTGGAGGCAGGTTTGGCTGTCGGTCCAGGTAGCGAAAGACCTTTTCAGCAGCCCCCACATTGCTCAGCATATCCCCACACATGTATACCAGGGTCTGGAAAACAGGAACAGAGGCCCAGCTAATCACACACAGCGCCACCAGAAACCAGAAACCAGCTCCTCCTTCCACCCCAGCCACCTTCTCCCCTCAGCCACCTTCAAAGGTGCCGTTGAGATGGAATGTAAAAGCGGCACCATAACCGCAGTGGTCCACTTGTAAGGAGACGTTCTTCCTCCTCCCACGCAGCATTACTTCTCTGCCCAGACCTGTCAATCACAGCTTTGCCTTGCCTGATTGGACAGTGACCTCTTTAAAAGCAGGTACTGCTCCCACCTCGTCTTTGTAGTGCCCCCCGCCCAGTGCCTAGCCCAGCTGCTCCATACGCGAAAGATGTTACACAAATATCTATGAAAATTATAAAATAAAGCCCAAGCTGAAGTAGCTATTTTTGGAAACAGGTCAATATAGGGAAATAACTAAATGTTCATCCTGTCTTTCCTAATCAGAAGGTGCCACCCAGTAACCAAATAGCACATGAGGGAAAGTCCCCTTGATAGATGTATTTCAGCTTATAAATGAAGGAATGGTAGTGTTTTTCAATCCCTAATAATTTAATGGATCAGGGAATTGAGCATCAATGACTGATGCCACCACAGATATGTATGAGGTGCAACACATACATTTATACTTCAAGTGGGAATTTGACCACTGACTGTATTTGAAGAATTTTAGGAATCATTGTTAATTTTTTAGGCATTAATGACTTTGTGGTTCTATTTTTTAACGTTGATATTTTAGAGATACTGAAATGTTTACCGATGAAACTATACCTTGGATTTGCTTCAAAATAATATGGGTAGGGGGACAGGTGAAGCAAGATCAGCCATGAGTTGATCACTGTTAAAGCAGGTGATGGGCACATGGGGTTCGTTACAATTTGTCCTTTTTTTTTTCCTTGCATATATGTGAAATTCTCCCTGACACAATGAGTTGGGTTTTGCTTTGCTTTGTATTGTATGTTCAAGGAGAACAAATAAAGCCCGAGGCCCTGAGGCCAAAGAGAAGGACAGGGGGGCAGATAAAAAGCAAGCACGGGCCCCTGACTCACACACACGTAGGAGCCCACGTTCTCCTGGAAGAGCAGGAAGGAGAGCAGTCCACCGCGGGTGAGGTCCCCGGCCAGGACCTGCTGCAATCCGCAGCTCAGCATCAGCACCTGCAGCGCCAAGTTCAGCATCTGGGCGGGGAGAGAAAGGCGAGGCTGAAAAAGTCCCCATCCTTTCCCCTCCTAGCACCCCAGCAGCCACGGAACAGCTACGGGCTCCCCAATGCTTTCCCCGTGCCATCCCTGTCCTCTGCCCCAGCCCCTTGGCCTTCTCACCCTCTGTAGGAGTACGTAAAGGGCACGTTCCAGGTCTCGACGCCAGCACAGCTGCCGGTGTTTTTCAAGAGCCTCTTTATAGCGACAGACCTCTTGCTCCTCGGCCCCAAAGCTACGCACAGTCTGCAGCCCTCCAACTGCCTCCTGCACCACCTGCCCTGCTTTCACCACTGCATCCTGGATCTCCAGAAGCACTGCCTGGAAAGGTGGGGCCGGCGACAGAGGGGGTGATTCAGCCGAAGGCAGCAGATCCCCATGTCTCCTTCCAGCCCCTGGGATGCTCCCCAAATCTACCTACAAATGTCAAACTGTACTCTTCCCCTCTTCCTTACATTTCTTTCCAGAGGGATAATGAAAGGGAAGGAGGGAGGCAACAAAATATTACTGAGCTCTCAGTGCCACACAGTGTGGCCCTAAAAGACCTAAAACAGAGTTAAAGCCATAAAACTCTAAGAAGAAAACACAGAGGAATAATTTTCTGACACTAGATTTGGCAATGAGTTCTTGGATATGACATTAGAAGTAGAGGCAAAAAAAGAAAAAAACAGATAAACTGAATTTCATCAAAATTTAAAACTTTTGTTCATCAAAGGACTTCATCAACAGAGTCCAAAGGAAACCCACAGTATGGGAGAAAACAGTTGCAAATCATATATCTGGTAAAGGGTTTATGCCCAGAATATATAAAGAACTCCTACAACTCAACAATTAAAACACAACCCAATTTAAAAACGAACAAAGGACTTGAATAGACATTACTCAAAAAAAGATATAAAAATAGCCAAGAAGTACATGAAAAGGTGCTTAACATCACTAATTAGGGAAATGCAACCCATACTGAGCTATTACCTCACAACCATCAGTATTAGGGTGGCTATTATTTTTTTTAAAAAGTGGTGTGTGTGTGTGTGTGTGTGTGTGTACACATCAGAATTTTACTCAGCCATAAAAAAGAAGGAAACCCTACTTTGAGGGTATTATGCTAAGTGAAATTAGTTAAACAGAAAGAAAAACGATATGATCTCATTGTATATGTAGGAAGTAAAAGATAAAACAAACTCACAGACAAAGACTTCAGATTTGTGGTTACCAGCAGTGGGGAGTGGGAGGGGGAGGGGGATGAAGGTGGATGAAGGTGGCCCAAAGGATTCCAATTATAAAATTTATAAGTACTACAGATGTAATTTTTAAAAAAAGAAAACCGTTGTGCATTACAGGTGGGAATGTAAAATGATATAGCTGCTGTGGAGAGCAATATGTTGGCTCTTCAAAAAATTAAAAATAAGAGAATTGCCATCCAATCCAGCAATTCTACTGCTGGGTATAGAGTCAAAAGCATTGAAAGCAGAGACTCCAACAGATATTTGCACACCCATGTTCACAGCAGCATTATTCACAATAGCCAAAACATGGAAGCAACCCAAGTGTCCATTAACAGATAAAAGGATAAACAAAATCTGGTCCCTTCAGCATGGAATATTATTCAGCCTTGAAAAGTTAGAACATCCTGATACATGTACAACATGAATGAACCTTGAAGACTTAAGCCAAGTGAAATAAGCCAGTCGCAAAAAAGACAAATACTGTACCATCTCACTTAGATACCTAAAGTCATCAAATTCACAGAGACACAAAGTAGAATGGTGGTTGCCAGGGGCTGGGGGGAGGGGCAAACAGGGAGTTACTGTTTAATAGGTACTGGGTTTCAGTCTGAGAAGATAAAAAAGTTCTGGAGATAGATGGTGGTGATGGTTACACAACAAATGTGGATGTTCTAATGCCAGTGAATGGCATTAAAGTGGTAAATTTTATGTTGTCTATATTTTGCCACAATTTTTTTAAAAGAGAGAGAGAAAGTGGAGCTGACATTCAGACTCGGACTTCCTGACTGCCTGTTCTACTCTCTCCACACTCCATCTAAATTCCTTCTGCTGAAATTAGGGGGAAACCCTCTACCTAAAACGCTGGAAGACAGCATTTTAATTCTTTGAGGAAAGTATGTACAGACTCTGGAGAATCTGATGAGGTTATCCTCTCCCCAGAAAAATGTGCTCTCCCTCCCTCCCCCCACAACTCCCTCCTTTCAAACACCCCCTACCCCCCTCCACACACACACATTTACATAAAGTCCAAGGGTTCAGGGACCTTCTGAAGCCTGTCCGAATTGCTGCTTTTAAAGGCTGAGAAGACCTCTAGGAAAGCTTTATCCTTCCCTGGGGATTCCCTGACATCCACACATACCTGCTGGCGGACACTGTACACTTTCTCAGTGGATATTATAAGAGGCAACTTGAGCAGGGAAAGGAGGGTGAGTCGAGGTGACAGGTTGAGCATGAAGGTATACAGTCCCACCACTTTCACCAGGCTTCGCAACAGCACGTTGGCATTCAAAGGAAGCCAGCAACTCATTAGTTTGGTATCCGAATTCAGCCTTGAAGTCAGCTCCCCTGGGGAGGACAGAACAGGTGAGGAAACCACGTGTGTAGCGGAAGACCCCCAGGGACTCCCTCCTGACCTGGCCTTCTGATACAGGCCCTCCTCTTAACACCCTCCCTCACTTGCAGGAAGCCTAGGAGAGGCTGCCTTGCCACCCTGCCCCAAAAGAGGGCAAAGCAGCTCCAGGCCCTGGCAGGGGAGGGCAACTGCAGGTCAAGGGATGTCCAGGGGAAGCCCAGACCTGGACTCCAGGCCCCACCTGTCTTAGTCTCCTGGAAGAAACCGAGGTCCTGGCGCAGCAGGGAGGAGAAAAGTCGCTCCCGGATGCGCAGGTTGATTCTGGACATGGTTATGAGAAAGCAGCTTCCTCGACAGCCTGAAGACAGTGAGCTGAAAGGTAGGGAGGGGCCAGAGGATGAAGGGGAGAGAGAGGCAGGGAAGAAAGGAAGGAGAGAGAGAAGCAGAGGAGAAAGCATGGAATGCAAAGAAATACAAAGTTGGGGAAAATATACCATGAGAGGCAGAAGAGAAACAAGTAAGAGAGACAGGAAGACAAGAGGGACAGAAATAAACAGGAAGAAGAAGGAGACATGGTGAGCTAGGTGAGGGACAAAATCATAACAAGTACGGTATTTGGGGGTTACTATGCTGAACATAATAGAAATGCAAAGGTGTTGTGAAAAGAAATAGCCTATGGCTTACTTCTGACCTGACCTCCCTCGATGCTGCCCACCCAGCCTTCCACTCTGTCCTGGTCTCTTTCCTCCCTGCCTCCAGAATCCTACTTCCTAGTCCCAGATTCTTTATTGTGGGAACTGCAGTAATGAACTCCCCACCCTCCCATTCTCTGAAGCCCTAGAATCATGCTGCTTCCCATCTCTATTGTCCCTGCAGTTAGGAATTCCTCTTAGATCAAGCAAATTTTTCTGATAAAACTTAAGTTGACAGTGTGAAAGCATAGAAAATGGGTATATTACAAAATATAGACTTCCAATACAAATTACTGTGTTTGGAAGGCTGTTGGCATAGTCAAACATAAAATGACTAGGGTTTGGACTGTGGTGATTGCAGTGAGAATTTAGAGAAAGGAGCCATAGGAGAAACATTTGAAAGTAGGAAATGACAGGGCTAGTGTTTGACTGTGAGAAAGGCATCTGCATGCTGATACTTAAGGATACGAATGCTTTCATGGGAATAAGAAGGGGGAACCACCTCCAGGGAGACCAGGAGGGAAGGAGACGCATTCAGAGCTCTGGGTATGTGGAGTGTGGGATATGGATGGGTCACCTGATGGAAATGTCAATCAGGCAGCTGGATTACAAGGCTGGAGCTGGGCATGGAAATATGGATCTGGATGTCACCCACAGAGATGAACTGAGTGAACCCAAAAGTAAATATGTTCTTAAAAATCAAAGAACTGAGTCAAGGAAAGGCCATATTTAAGGGCCCAGAAGAGGAAACGTCTCCAGAAGAGGTAGAATGGATTGGGAAGAAGAAAGCAACTTCATAAAAGCTCACTGAAGAAAGAGATCAATAATAAGAGATTAATGCCAAATGCTAAAGAAACAAAGAGACCTGAGGACTGACTTTTTTTTTTTTTTAAAGCAGTGGCTTGATCAGTAAGAAATTCACTTCTGAGTAACTGATTTCAGCAAAGATCGGATGCAGGCATAATGAAGAACTGGTTCTTGAGACTTTCTAAACGAAGTACAACCACAAAAGAAGGTGCCAGTCTCACAAAGCGGGCTGGCATAGGCTGTGGCAAGGGAGTCACCTGCACACCCCAGAGAGTGAAGCCTCCTTAAATTTTGCAGCCCAGGTACCTGCCTCCCAGTCTCCACCCTATCAAGCAGTTAGTTTTTTGTAGACAGCAGACTCCTGGGTATGTCTAAAAAGAGGGACAGGCAAATGAAGTGCAAAGAATAAAGCTGCTGGAAAGAAGTGATAAGCCCCAGAGTAAGTTCTTCAAGATTGGCAAGATGAGTTAGGGAAAAGGGTCAGGAGAGAGAAACACGCCCACCCCAACAACAGGATAATTTTGGAAACAAACTTAGGGTGGGAGGTAGAAGACAGAAAAGACACATGGAATTTTTCATGGTGATGAAAACGTTGAGAGGTGACCGAGAGACCGTCCATTTGACACCCACCCTCCTTTTGTACCACCCTCACTCACACATGTATCTATACTAATGTCATTTAGACTTCGAAGATGTTGGGTAAAAACAGTGAATGAAGGAATGGGTGAACAGATGCATGAAATAGAAGAGTGAATAAACAAATCCATGCATAGTTTAGTTTAAATGTTCTGTGCTTGCTGCACAAAGGATCTGAAAACAGAGTTAGGAAGTGAAGGCCCCTGTGAAGATTTGGGACTAGCAAAGGGGCCCAATCACCCATGACCTACCTCCCAACGGAAAAGAGACACATGAAAAAGATGGCACTGCCGAAGGCGTCGGGGTCAAAATCACCTCCCAGAATGTCAATCACACGACCAGAATAGTAAGGGATAAACGTCTCACCTGAAAGAGGCAGGAAGCAGAACAGGTGAATGTGCTGGGACCAGGGCCTCCTCCCACCTCCAGTTTACAACACCCTGTCCTAACTCACCCAACACAGCAACTATGAGGAAGAAGAAGGCGGCAGAGAGGAAAGGCAGGTCTGGCCTGGAGAGCTTCAGCAGCCTCCACATCAAGGCTTTGCTGTTCTCCTGGCCCTGGTCCCTCTCTTGGGGGCTCAGCATGGCCCACACTGCATAGCTGAGCCCTGCAGCCCCATACCCCACCAGCAGCCAGCTCCAAGGGGCTGAAGCTGCTCTGACTGGGGGAGCACTCAAGGGCCCCATCACCAGTGCCCTCAGGGACAGAAACAGGGGGGTCCCCAGGCAGAGTAGGGGCAGCAGTGTTCCCACATGCCCCAGAAGCCCTCCCAGCATTAGCAGCCACCAGAGCCCTCCCAGTCGCAGGGTCCCCTCCAGCCACAGGCCTAGAAGCCCTCGGGGAAGCAGAGCCCCCAGAGTGCCCTGAAGCAGCCAGAGTAAGGCCAGGTCCACCAACAGCAGGGAGGCCCAGGGTCTCAGGTCCAGGAGCCGCATGGTGTTATCTGCGGGTCAAAAGTGGAAAATTATAGAGGCGGAGCCCAATCCTTGTCCTCACTCCCACTCCGCCCAACCTGTCCATCGGATTTTCATTTCATCCAAACCTACCAGTAAAGATCCCCTGGACCCCCTGCTCATCAGCACGTCCCTCCTGGGACAGAAGGCGTTCTGCCTGTCAGAGAGAGCTGGGGAGGCTGACCATCTGGAGCCACATCCTTTAAGAAACTTCCTAGGACTCTCCTCCCCGCCCCCCGCCCCGCCAGGCGGTCTCCTCCCTGGCACTACCCGCTGTCCCCAGGGACGGGAAGCAGGGAGCGCGGAGGGGGTGGCAGGTTGGGGTGGTCCCTGTTAGCGCTCCACGCTCCCACCCGCACGAACTCACCAGTGGCGGCCCCGGCACGGCAGCTCCGGAGGTCGTTGCATTAAGTGGTGAGGACCGACCTCTTAAGTGCTCGCGCGCAGTCTGTACTTGCTTTCCCCCTTCTGAGCGCTGGCGACGCTTTCCAAGCCACGGCGAACTGGCTCTCGCTTTCGCTTTCGCTTCTTCGGCCACTGTGACCGCGCTGGGCGGGGTGGCCAGCAGGGGGCGCGCGACACCTGCAGCCAGCCCAGCCCCATCGACTCCTGCTCGCACTTCCCAGGGCCCCAGGGCGTCGCTCACCCTTACCAACGCTTGCTCTGGGATAGAAAACGGCTACAGTTTTTTTTTTTTATTATTGTCATTAAGTAGCATAAAGCTGTTTCGAGGATTGGGAAGTTTTGTAATTAAAGAGCCGTTGGATTTTCTTACGGCAAACTCTTAATACCTCAAACTCTGAACCTATTATGGGAACAGCCTCCTTCCCCAATCGGAGCTCCAGTTTTAGGGTCCTGGGGTAAGAAGAGAGCCAGATTCGGAGCGAGAAACACACAGGACCTCTCCTACATAGAAGGCTCCAGCCACTTTCACCAAGGCCTGCGGAGGTTTCCACTTACAGATTTTGAGATGAGAAGGCCTTGTGCCTTTGTCTTCATCTGTCCTCAGCACAGCGACTTGAGCAGAGCACATATTCAGATGCCTCCAAACTATGTTGAAAACACCTTGGGCATATGAGGGAAATGGACTTGTTTCTTGGTCTATTTTAACACTGATTACAACAGTAATCAGGCTTCTATCCATCCTTCCTAGCTCAGAGATTATCTGTGGAACATGCAGATTTGTTTACTCCAGAAATAACTCTTCAGGTTGAAACCACCTCTCAAACTCACAGTTCCCAGAGGGAGGATCACTTGGATTCCAAACCACCCCTTTGAAATGTTATTGGTGTGACTACCAATGATTCATTTCAAGCTAGGAACAATTGTGGGGGGGATTACTAAAACTTCTCCTACCCTGTCCATTCTGGGAATTTAAAGTCCTCTCTCTAATGAAAATTACTCCATGCTCAGCTGCTTCCCATTTTTGTTATTCCTTTGATTAACTCTCCTTTGAGAGGGGACATTGTCCATATTCCTTCTGGCAGTTCCAGATGATTCAGAAGATCTCATCAAGTCGATCTCATTTTCCTCACCTGGTTACTTTCTGCTCATATTCCTCACATCAAGGAGTCCTCCTCGTCTCCTCCCCTTTCTCTTCAATCATGGTCCTGTCATCTTACAATTGAGTGAGCTGCATCACAAGATTGAACCCCTACAGTCCATCTTTGTATTCAATATCCAATATCCCTAAACTGTTATTTCAGGTAAACAATACTGTGTTTGCAATTACCGCATACATGTGAGGTGAAAGCTTTTTTCATCTGACTCTACAAAGTCAGAACTAGCTGTAATAGGTACCCTGTCCCCAGGCCCCCAAACTATTAACAGTGGACTACACAGAAGTCTCTATGTATATCCCCAAGTAAAGCACTCCAACTTAAATTAAATTGTAAATAAGTGTCTGCAGACAACAATGATCGGCCTTCCTGAGGTCCTAGAGAGATGAGTGTGGAAGGAAAACCCTGGAGAAATATTTGGTGAGGCCCATTTCTTAGGCAGGGTTTGAGTGTCTTCTCAGGAAAAGCCTCTCTTTATTTCCTGCCCCCTTCCCCTCAACAGCCACAGCCCCAAGCCCAATCAGCCAGAACACAGACACAGAAATTTGTAACCATTTTCCTTTATTGTGCTTAGTGGGCACCCAGAAGGTTGTGATAGGCGAGTGTTCCTTGAAAGAGAGAACACACAAAAGGGGAAACTCTGCCCTGCCCCAAAGCTGCCAATACTCTCCCCCCAGGGCTCAAGTTAGGGCCCTCTTCTCCCAGGGCAAAAACTGGTCCAAGTCCCCGAGTCAGCCAGGCTTTCCAGAGGAGGCCTGCCCAGCCGCTGCCACTGCTACTGACTGGCCTCCCGGTACTGGTACATCAGGTCACTGACGTCTGTACTCTGCACTTTCACCCAACCGTCTTGCTTCATATGGTACACTGTGGGCCAATAAGAAAGAACATGGATGCACCTTTCCCTTCAGCCAGTCGCTGTTATGATGTTACACTGAAGGAAACCCTTATTACTGGGACTTCACTGAAAACCTCCCCCGAGTCTCCCAATCTCAGAAGCCCTTCCGGAACCAGGCATGGTGGTGGGAGCACTGGTCTCTTACTATTGACAACTCCTCCAGAATAGTTGTCTCAGTGGGTAGCATGAACAATAGCCCTGCGGCCCATGTCATAAGCCTCTTCTCAGCTAAGATTTGGCCAATAGCTGCTATCCATCACCCCATAGGCAAAGGTGTTCCCGGTACCCATGGAGAACATGTTTCCTGAGAGCCGAGTCCCATAGTCATCCACGTAGTAGAGTCCAGGACCCTATAGGATGCAAGAAAGTTTCAGGTTGGAATTGGAGAGGGAGATGTTGGTAACATACAGGTCCAAGTATGAACCATAAAAAGTGACCAATGAAGGGGGGACCCTAGTAAACATAACGTTCTTCATGTAATTGTAGATTAATGATAACAAAAAAAAAATTTTTTTTAAGTGACCAAGAGAGTAAGACTTGCCACAGGAATAACTGAAGTAGGACAGCACTTTGGTAATAATCATAGAACTTGAGGAGAAAATGGGAAAAACAAACTTGGAATCAACTATTTCATTGAAAGGGACAAGCTTATGAAACAGTGGTCCACATCTGGACCAGAAATAGCCCCTGGAGATGCTGGACCAGTTCTATAACCCAGAGTTCTAAGGGAGGGAGTGGGAGGGGAGGGTATGATGAGAAAACTGATCTCTCATCCACAGCGGGGGAATATGGAGAATGGAGGGCACCCACCTTGTCCCAGCCACAGATCATACTGCCCATGGAGAGGCCCAGGCCGCGGTACTGGCACATCATGTTAGAGAGCAGTTTAGAGGCTGCTTACACTGAGATACGCTCCCCATTCCACAGATAATACAACCTGGGTGAAGACAGGGTGGTGGGGGGAGAGGCCTTAGAGGTGTCAGGACTAGGCTAGCTCTCTGAGCAGCCCACTCGATGGGTAGGAAATGACTGAGGAGGAAAGTATTTGAAAGGATTGGTTTTGTAGGATCTCAGGTTCAGGGAGAGATTTGGAATTTAAACCTAAACCACATAAAGAAATCGTAGTAAATGTTACTATCCAACCAGGGTGGATGATGTCAGGGCTAAATAATTGAGAGATTGATTATCTGGTTTAGTGGCAGGAGCTCAAGATGAGATTTGGGAGAAGGGTTTTTTTGTTCCGTTTTGTTGTTTTAATCATCAAAAGGCTGTTTTGTGAAATACTACCTTAGCACTAAGATGCTACATTGGAACAGGAGGAAAGGGTAAGGAGGAGTGATGTGGAGGACCCAGGATCCAGAACTGACCACTAGGCTTAGAAGGCGGATGAGAGACCTCACCTACCTGCACTCCTTGGCCAGCAGACGCTCCCAGTACTGACAGTCCGCCGCACAACCAGACATGGTGCCCAACAGGTACGGGTTAATCTCAATCACCTTGTTCATCCTTATGGTGCCTGGAAGACTGAGTTTCAAGAAGAAAGGAATGACCCCACAGCTCTCCCTGTGTGTCCTACGTCATTATCTGCTTCTGCTTTTGTGCAGACGTTGGGCTCCTGCTGAGAGGAGGGCCCAGCCCCCCCGTGGAACCCGCTTGCTGGAACACATACTCACTAATGTAATTCCCGGATGCGGCCCGAGAATCCACCACCACAATCACTCCATGCTGGAACTTGAAGGCGAGGGTGGTAGTGCCAAGGGCCATCTCAATCTTATCATTCTTTTCTCCATTCCCACCCAGAGACTTGAGTAATTCAGTGGGCTAATGCAAGAGAAAAGGCAGAGGAAGGGGCTCTGAAAACTTCTGAAGTCGGAGACTGCAAGGGAAGGGTTTTAGGGAGCGGGAGAGTGAGGAGACAGGCAGAAATTCACCAACCATCACTAAATGGAACAGTTAATAACCAGTCTCTCCAAGGAAATGGCTTGGCGAAAGGAAAAGAACCAACCTTTTCCTTTATCCAGCACGGAAGAAATGAAAGAACGTTACCATAACTAAACATTTTAGGGGTCACTTTATAATGTGTTTTCTTTCCATTGGTCATTTAACCCTCACAAAACACGCTTTATTAATACTATCCCATTTTACAGAAGGGAGGGTGAGAGACCTACACTGACTTAATCCAGCCACAAGTAGTGAGTGGTTAAGGAGAGGCTAATGGCCAAAGTTGATAGGTTTTCCATGCACTATACAGCCCCTATATCACAGGATAGCCCCGTGAGAAAGGCTTGCAGATGTGTGTGGGATGGAGACCAGGCAGGACAGCTCCCTTGTTCTTTCGATGGGAGCCCCCACTGCACCTCTAACTCTACCTAATCTGGATTTACAAAGCCCCAGGTGGTCAGCCCCAATTCCCCTGTGGCCTCTTTCCTGGCACGGGCCCGGGATGTGGCTCTCCTCAACCAAAGGATGCCCAAACTCCGCGTTCCTGCGCCTCCAGGCACTCTGCAGGCCGACCCTCCAGTCTTCTGCGCCCTGCTCCTCGCCTTCCACCGGGTTCTTTTACAGCCCTGACCTGCATTCCCCGGGGGAGGGCGAGCTCCGGAGATCGCTTAGAGAAACTGTAGTGTCCGGGCTCCGAGCGAAGCTGGCTTCCCAGGACAGGGAAAGCCCAGTCCTCCCGCTGCCCTCGGGGGGCTCCGCACATCCCCAGCAGCGCCATGACCGCCTCGCACCCGGAGAACTGTCCATCTTCTGAGGAGGAAGTGAAAGCGAAAGCCGGCAGCCTTAAAGGGAGGGAACAAGAATTTTTTCCACATCCCCCTGCCCTTTCCGAGAAGAAGTCGGGGGCTGTCTGGCGACCATTAGTATCACAGAGTGGACAGGCGCCTCTGCCCCTGCTCCATGGAGGTTGGGGGAACAGAGGGTGATAGAATGTCAAAAGAAGGGAATGAAAGCGAGAGAGCGACTTTGAAAGCCCCCTCGGCGATGATATTGGAGTGAGATACACCAACAGCCGGCATCCTCTGGGAACCGTTACCGAGTGGGTAGGGGTCCTGTCAGCTAAAGGCG